TTGAAATGATTAAAGAGAACAAAGAATTTACTTAAAGAAACATAATATAGTAAGTAGAAAACAATATGAAAAAAAAGAACAGAAGCATCTGAAAAAGAACCAAATAGAATTTTGAGGAAAGAAATCTTTAGTAATTGAAATTTAAACATTTCACAGGATGATTTAAATGCATATTAAAAATATCTAAAGAAGAAATAATGCAGAATATATTATATAAGAAGAGCTTAAAAATAGGAAAAAGAAGCTAAGATGTGTACAGTTTAATAAAAAAGTTCAATATACATCTAATTTAGAGTTGCCAAAGGAGTAAATGGACATAATGGAAATGAAGCAATATTTGAAGATATACTGGTTAAAAATTACCCAGAGCTGATTAAAGGTATACTTAGATTCAGGAAATTCAGCATATCCCCACCAAAATAAAGAAAAACAAAATAAAGAACTACAAATACACTAACATACATAATAGTGGAATTGCATGCCATCAAAGAGAAAGAAAATACTTTTAATATCTATCTCAGAGAAGAGACAGATCAACCGTAATAAATGACAATTAGAATAATAGCAGTCTTATCATTACCAAAAATGTATACCAGAAGATAATCAAATATATTCAATTCTGAAGAAAATAACTTTTAAGCTAGAATTATTTAATTTAAGAGGGAAAGCAAAATAAAGATATTTTCAGAAAAAAATTGTGGAAGTTAACTATTCACATGCCCTCACTGAAAAAATAATTAAAGGAATCTTCAAGGAAGGAATGAGAAGCAAGAAGCTATGGTAAGGGAACAAGCTATGGTGAGTGAAAGCTAGAATCAGCATTACCCTTCTACCACAAAAAAACTATAAAATCTGAATAGAATGTATAAAATAACTGTTTGCAAGTGTTGAAAAACAAGCAAAGCTTCATAAAGAGAAGGAAAATATATGGTGAGCCCAAAATTCACCCTGGGTTTTCTCCTGAGGGTGTTTTCAAAACCACAGTGCAGAGAAATAGAACATAAGAGCAGAATAGCAGCCCCACTGGGAAGATAATATCAGGGCCACCATGGTAACTGGACCCTGGCAAAGGAGTGATTCTCAGAGAGAAGAAGGCCACAGAGAAAGAGCTGTGAAAATATGAATGAAATTTACCTTGATTATTTAACCTATTTCTAGGTGTTGCATTTTCAGTGTAAGACTCTGGTAGGTCTATCAGGAAACAACTACTAGGAATTTGTCCTGCTAGGTAGATATATTATAGCCTGCACAATTCTGGGCAGATACAAGTTCAAGTTTTGACAAAGCCAAGGCGAGGAGACCTTTTTGAATACCCAGAGCCTTCAGTTAAGACCCCAGGAAAGCCCCATCCTATTGTTAAGGACCACACTCCAAGAGAACCATCTTAATAAAGTCTAAAATCAAGTCTCAACAGGATCAAGGTGATCCAAGGTAATTTAACTGTCTACCACAATATTATTTCACATGCTTTCAAGGAAAATAACATAATCCAGAACCTCTGCAATGTATCATCTACAATATCTGAAATATAGTAAAAATTACTAGATATGCAAACATAGGAGAAAATGATTAGTAAGCAAGAGAAATAATAGTCAATAGCAGTATACCAGAAATTATCCAGATATGGGGGTTAGCAAAGAAGGGCTTCAAAATAATTGTAATTATTATATTAAAGTGCTATGGACTGAATGTTTATGTCCCCCAAAATCCATATGTTGAAGTCCTAATCCCCAATGTGGTAGTATTCGGAGACAAGACCTTTGGGAAGTAATTTGATTTAGACGAGATCATGAGGATGGAGGCCCATGATGAGATTTGAACCCTCATAGGGATTGAAGAGACCAGAACTCTCTCTCTCTCCCACATGAGCCTACCACAAGAAAATGGTCATCTTCAAACCAGAAAGAGGGCCCACACCAGGAATGCAGTTGACCTACACCTTGACTTTGGACTTCCCAGTCTCCAGAACTGTGAAAAATAAATGCTTATTTGTCAAGCCACCCAGTCTATGAAATTTGGTATAGTAGCCTGAAATGATAAAGATATAAAGAAAATAGAGAAAAAGATGGATAATTCCAAAATGTAATTAAAAATGTATAAAAATGATTAATTGTACATTCTAGAACCAAAAAATATATCTGAAATTAAGAGCTATTTGGATAGATGGGTTCAACAGCATATGGTATTAGTTAATTTGAATGTTGGGTAAATTGAAAATACCCAAATTAAAGCACTGATAGAAAAAAAGAATGGAAAAATAAGAACAGCATGTATGACCTACCCAAACATTCTAACACACATGTAACTGGTATTCCAAAAGGAGAGGATAAAGTGAATGGGACAGGAGCAGTATTTAAAGAAATAATGGCCAAGAATATTTTTTCAAATGTGATGGAATACACAAATCTACAGATTAAATAAGTTCAGCAAACCAAAAGCGGGATATAAACAAAACTTTACCTACACACATCACAATCATTTAAGTAATCACTTAAGTTATTGAAAAATCAAAGACAGAAAAAAGCCCTTAAAATTGGCCAGAGAAAGAAAACCTTCTTCAAAGAAGCCACAAGAAGATTGATGGCTGACTTTCCAGCAGAAACAATGGAAACCAAAAGTGGGATGCTGACCCATTCTAATTTATCCTAGACTGAGGGATTTTCCAGGAAGCAGGACTTTCAGTGCTAAGATTGAAACAGTTCCAGAGAAACCAGGATGGTTATCACCTTAGCCAAAAGACAATTTTGTGATATCTTTAAAGTAGTGAGAAAGAAAAATCCCTGCCAACTTGTATTGTATTCTTCATAATTGAAGGCAAACATGAATATGTGTAAATATCCTTCAAAAATGAAGGTAAAATTAAGATGTTTTAACAAAAATAAATGCTAAAAGGATTTGTTTCAGAAGACCTGCACTACGATAAAAGGAGTTCTTCTGACTGAAGGAAAATTATCTCAGATGGAAGTAAGAAATTGCAGAAAAGAATGAGAGGTCTCCAAAATGGTAAATACATGGGTGAAATATAAATAAATAGTGCCAATTTAAAACAAGAACGATATTAATGTCTTATAAAATATGTAACATTCATAAAAGTAAAACATATGACAGCAATAGTGCAGCCCTTTTGTAAAATCCTAGGCATTTGTTTAATAAGTGGTGAATTACTAATTTAATGTGAACTGAAATAAATCAGACACATATTGTTATCTGTTGTGCAGCAGTTATTAAAGTGTTTGGTCTTAGGAGCTATTTACATTGTTAAAAACTATTTTGAACTCCAAAGAGCCTTTGTTTGTGTGGGTTAAATCTGTCGATAGCTTCCATATTAAAAATTCAAACTGATAAATTGTTAAAATATTTACTAATTCATTTAAATGTAACAATAATGAACCTATTGTTAAAATAAATAGCATATTCTTGTGAAAAAAACTTTTCTAAAATAGAAAAATAAGGTTACATTTTTTATATTTTTAAAATTCCTTTATGTTTTAGTAGAAGATAGCTGGATATTCATATTGCTTCTGCATTTAATATATTGTGATATCACATGACTTATCCCTCTGGAACATTCCACTCCATACTAATGAAAAATGAGAGTAAAAAGGCAAATACTCTCAATATTATGAAGATAATTTTGACCTCATGAACCCCCTGAAAGAACTTCGGGACACACAGAGTGTCCCAAACCATATTTTAAAAATCTACTTTACACTAACCATGGAAAGAATATTAAAAGATAGCATAAGTCAAAATCTAACAGATGAGAAGAAGTGAAATAATACAAATATTTAAACCAAAAGAGCTCACAATAAATTGGAATAAAGAAACAAAGAACAGATAAAACAAAGAGCAAACAAATGCTGTAAAAATGATAGATATAAATGCAACTATATCAAAAATTACCTTAAATGTAAATAGTTTAACACTATATTTAAAAGACAAAGATTTGAAGACTGTATTATAATTAGATTTTTATGAGTTACAGTTTATGTACAAGGACACAGAATATTGAAACTAAAAGTATGGAAAAGATGTATCATGTTCAACAACCTGGATGACTGTTACAGATAGCACGATGACTGAAAAAAACCAGAGACCAAAGAATATGTACTGTATGTTTTCGTTCATATGAAGTTCAAAGTAGACAAGAAAAATAATTGATTATGAGATGGAACATTGGTTTACCACTTGGAGTATTAACTGGAAAGAAGCATGAGAGTACCTTATTGGGTGCTGGAAAGTTTCTATATTCTTACTTGTGTTGTGATTGTGCAGGTATATACATAGGTAAAAAATATCATCAAACTATATATTTATGATTAGTGCAATTGTATGTTATTTATTATAAAATAAAAAATTGAATTTCTTAGAAAGAAACTGTGGTAGGCAGGAAAATCATTAAACATGTTATTTAAAAAAGCTTTGGCAGTTGAATAAGACTAATTTGTCAGTTGAAGAAAAGATGGAACTAAAATATTGGACAACGATAACACAAAAGGTGGAAGAGAGGTGATTGGAGTATAAGGGTTTTAAGGTCACGCATTGATCAGAGGAGGATATAGGTATTGATTAAACAGATTGTCTGCTATGCAGGTTAAAACTTTTAGATTAAAGGTACATAAATAGAACGTGTAATGTCTTGACTAATAGAGTGGAAAACAAAGAGAATGAAGAAAATGTGTCTTAACAGAATGCAGGGAAGATGAAGGAAAGGAGTGAAGGAAAAAAACATGGTACATAGAACACAAAATAAGATGGTAGAATAAGTCCAAATGTATCATAATCAGAATAAATATAACTGGATAAAAGCCACCTGTTAAAAGACAGAGACTCTCAGGTTGGTGCTGTTCCCCTGAATTCTGAAGGATGCCTTTTTGTAACTTGGAAATGAATAGATTATTTGAAACACACTAGTATTATTATTTAATGATTAGTCTGTGTCCTTAAATAAAGAAATAACAGATTTTCTATCAACAATTAAATACCAACTTCTTTATTCCTTTCTCTTGTAGTCTGATCTCAGCCATGAAATGGAATCTGATATGATAGATGTGGTAAGTGGCCTTCTAAGATTTTGTTTTATAAAATAAAATATTTCGCATATACTATATTCTTTTTGATACTAGAATACTAAATAATGATATTTCCTTTAATACTCTGTATAAAAGTATAGAAGCATACATATATAGTGAATGTTTAAAGCATGTTTTGGTTTATCTTTTGTGTCACCCAATAAAATTGGATGAAACAATGAAAAAATTAAATATTTTTTACAAAAGATAGTATTCTAATATGTGAGACAAAAATAAGCCATGAATTAATTGAAAAGGTATAATTATAATGGACAAATATAAGCAGTGTCTTTTCAGCATATTCTGAAACAAAAACAAAAAATAGTTGTTTTATTCACATTTCTGATTTGGAACACTCTTTCCCTGAGAAATACTTTGCTTGTGTGCAGCTTTTTTTTTTTTTTTTTTTTTTTTTGAGGAAGATTAGCCCTGAGCTAACTGCTGCCAATCCTCCTCTTTTTTCTGAAGAAGACTGGCCCTGAGCTAACATCCGTGCCCATCTTCCTCTACTCTGTATGTGGGATGCCTGCCACAGCATGGCTTGCCAAGCGATGCCATGTTCCCTGCCGGGATCCGAACCGGAGAACCCCAGGCCACCAAAGCGGAACATGCGCACTTAACTGCTGCGCCACTGGGCCAGCCCCTGGAGTTTTTAGTTACCCAAGAGAACAGACCTTAATATACTTAATAAGTCTGAGTTCTTTGAAATCATGTATTTCCTAAATCTTGGCATTGAGAAATTCATGTACATAAAATGCCACTGTTGAGGAAATATTTTTTCCTCAGTAAGTCTTAGCAAGAGAAACCTTGAGCCTACACCTATTGCCTTGGGTACCTATATTTATTCTTTGTTTAGAAAAAAGTATATAATAGTACTCTTTAAAATTATAGATTGCCTGAATATTTTAGATGGGACTGAAATTTTTTGAATTAATTATATTTCTTCCTTTCTAAATCAATCTAGTATTCATTTTAAGGGAGTTTAAGGAGCTCAAATACTCATATAATTGTAAATGGTTTAAGAGTAGTTTTTTAGCTTTTGCTTTTTTATTTTTTTGTGTCCATTACTTAGCAATTGTTTCATGCCTAAAGAAAGCATCTAATACTAGTTCCATTTTTAACATAATATCTAGAACAAAAGAAAAGACCTCTCTTCTTTAAAAACTGCCTCTTTTTACAGTTTGGTGATGTTTGAATGTAATTTCTTTGGTTTTAAGACTTGTTCCTTGTCAGAAAAACATATCCCTGTGAGATATGCAATGTTAAACAAGTTCATGTTTTCCTTTTAAGTGCAAGAAAGTTTTTGAGCCCTTTCTGAAAAACAGGTTTTGATAATGGTGAGTTGAAATAAAGCATGAAGACATTGAGTTCATAGAAGGTGAAACTGGAGAAGAAGAAAGAAAGAGGAGGAAAGCAGGCTACTTGACAGTTTTTCCTGGGGCCAGGAAACTTTGCTCTTGAAGCATTTGTTTTAGTTAAATATAAACTGAATTCAACTTTAACAACAAATTAGGAGCCACCAAAGGTATAGTTGCAGATGAAGTGGCTTCACATTCTGTCTGTGCCATAAATCAACATCACATCTTTCTCATTATCAACTCAGAAGAAGTGTCTATTATCCTATTTCAGAAATCATGAAAAAGACTTGATTTATTTCATAACATTCTTCATGCTTTTGTAGACTGGAAGGCTGTAGTGACATGTTATACAAATGGAACAAATTTTGAGATTTCTAATAGATATTGCTTCTTAAATATAGAGAAATAGATTTTTAAATGGTTTTTCTTAATGATATTTGGATAAGTATCTGTTATCTAATGTTTTATTTTTCACCCTATTTTCTCCAAGCATTCCTTGCCCTCCCCTTCCATTTTATTTTTCTATATCCTTCATATTTTCTCTTCCTAATCATTTCTATTTTTCTCTTGCTCTGTTTTTTCTCTTTCACTGCTCCATATGGGACCTGAAAGTAAAGTATGATGTGAAATACAGGAAATGCTCATAGACTTGGAGAATGTTTATGATGTTAAAACATGTCAGCCTTCAGAAACTAATTTAAAAAAACCACCTAAAGTCTAAAGAATGTTTGTGTTTCTGGCCACACTACTCAGGATTTACACTTATAGCTATGTCTAATCTCTAAGACATGCTTCTTCATCAGAAATTATATTGATGTTACAGTGATGGATGGACATTCAGGAGAAAGGAAAATTATCCTTGTCTTTCTCTATAGGATAATCTGCTTTAAGACTTCCTAAGTGCCTAATATCTGATCTGACTATTTGATCCTCCTTAGAAAAGCACAAATTGGTAATATATTGGCTCAGATGTCAGTTCTGGGATCCAATGTTTGGTATACCACAAATAAAATGAAAAATATCATAGAATCATATATTCTTAAACTTGGAAGCCACTTTAGTTCTGGTCCAACCATCCACTCTAGTATTTGAATCACTTCTCATATATTAAAGAGGGCCTACAATATGCCAAGAACTGTGTTTGTTGCTTAATATTCATTTAATTTCATTTTTCCCACAATCCTTTTGATGTGAAGTACATTTTAGAGATAAGGAAACTGAGGCTGATAGTGTCTTAAGTCACTTGTTCAAGATCCCACAACTGATAAGGTGCACATAAGGGATTTGGATTCAGGTTATTGTGACACCAAAGCCCATGTTCTTTCCTTTATACCACATATCTATCAGCCTATGCTCATATACCTGCAGTTCGAGGAATCTATCTTCCTGGGAAGCACATCATAGACAACTCTCACTGTTGGAAAGTCCTCTCTTAGAATGACATAAAATTCTATAGTGTCCAGCCATTGTTCTTACTTCAGCTACAGAGGTTGATAGAACTAATTTAATTATTCTTCCACATAATTGCTTTTGATATATTTTAAACAAGCAATATTCTCTTCCTGAACATTGAAAACATTATGCTAAGTAAAAGAAGCCAGCCACCAAATGTCACATATTGGCATGTGTTATGTTGCCATATAAGGTGTTTCATTTTTGAGTAACAGAAATGTTTTGAAATTATATTTTTGTACAGCTCTGTGAATATACTAAAATCCACTGAAATGTACACTTTAAATGGATGAATTTTATATGTGATTTATATCTCAATAAAATTGTTAAAACATATAAATTTTAAAAGTAATGAAAGTTCATTTTTTCTCATTTGAAACTGGAAAAATATAAAAGAAAAAAGATGAAGGAAAATGAAGCTGTACATTGCCTCCTTTTAAACAACAACTTTTAAGTTGTTTTACAAAGATATTTAATTTCTCCATTTCATAAAAGCTATTATTTTCAGATAATGGATGCTTCTGGGCAGAATTATATTTCCTTCTACAGTAATCCTAATTTTTCAATCATATCACTCAAATGACATCTTAATTTCTAAGGCTATCGCCACTTACTACGTGCCAAAAACTTGTCACATTATTCACATCAAGACCTTCAGTGGTTTTAAAGGAATCTGATCATTAAGTCAATTCAGTGCACAGGGGAATCTATTTCATTCCAATCTTCCTGCAAACATCTGAAAAATCACTGAATAACATTACGTGCAAATTGCACCTGCTGAGAATTCAAAATACTGCACGGCCTTTTGATACTCTGAACGTAAATCTGTAGGTGCAATGTAAGTACACATATTTTTAAATCAAACATGAAAAGTTCACTTTAAATTAAAAAATTAGTTGACTTAAAAGAGGATTTATTCCAAAATTCCATGAGATAGCGCATTCTTCAACATTTTAAATAAAAATCCATTTTCCAGTGTTTTATTCTCATAAAGCTTCCTTAAACCCAATTACCATAATAATTTAGTATCTGCTGAAGTATAATCAAACATTTATAACACCCTAGAAAAGTATATACTTTGTTATCTGATTTTTTAAAAATCTCTACCCTCTGTAGCAATTTTTATTCTCTTTTCTTGTTGTTGTTTCACTCTAATTGTCCCTCCATCTTCATATAACTTCTCAAATCTAGGATTTTCTGATTTTGATAAAAGAATGTCACCTTAGTTTTGGTTATAAGGTAAACTAACAATCTCTAGTCTCATTTGTTTATTTTTCTTTTGTTTCTCATGCCTGAGGAGACATGATATTAAAAAAGATACTGCTAAAGTTGATGTCGAAGAGCACACTGCCTTTGTTTTCTTCTAAGAATTTTATGGTTATATGTCTTACATTCAAGACTTTAATCTATTATGAGTTAATTTTTGTGTATGGTGTAAGACAATGGTCTGCCATTCTTTTGCATGTGGTTGTCCAGTTTCCTCACCACCGTTTCTTGAAGAGACTTTCCTTTCTCCATTTTATGCTCTTGGCTCCTTTGTCAAAAATTAGCTGTTCATAAGTATGTAGGTTTATTTCTGGGCTCTCAGTTCTGTTCCACTCTGATCTGTGTGTCTGTTTTTCTGCCAGTACCATGCTGTTTTGGTCACTATAGTTTTGCAGTATATTTTGAAATCAGAAAGAGTGATACTCCAGTTTTGTTCTTTTTTCTCCGGATTGCATTGGCTATTTTGAAGTCTTTTGTTGTTCCACGTAAATTTTAGGATTCTTTGTTCTATTTCTGTGAAAAATGTTGTGGAAATTCTGATAGGGATTGCATTGAATCTGTAGACTGCTTTAAGTAATATGGACATTTTAACTGTGTTCATTCTTCCAATACGAGAGCATGGAATATCTTTCCATTTTTTTGTGTCTACCTCAGTTTCTTGCCAACAATGTCTTAATAGGTTTCAGTGAACAGATCTTTCACGTCTTTGGTTAAATTTATTCCTAGGTATTTTATTCTTTTTTGTGATTGTAAATGGGATTAAATTCTTGATTCCTCTTTCTGCTAGTTTGTTGTTAGTGTATAGAAATGCAACTGATTTTTCTATGTTGATTTTGTACCCTGCTACTTTCTGTATTCATTAATTGTTTCTAATAGTATTTTTGATGTATTCTTCAGGGTTTTCTA